TTTTGAAAAGAATGAGAGGAAGCCCGTCCAGCCCTGCTGTTTTTCCTTTCTTCAGAGCTTGGATGCAAGAACGAAATTCTGCTACTGTAGGAGGTTCAGATAGCACTGTCCACGGAAGCTCAGATACATCGGAGGAGATAGCCTAGTTACCACCTGACCAGCTGAACTGTTCATTGAAGTACTCCGCCCACCGGTCAGGCCGTTGTTCCCTATTGTGAACAGCTTGCTCACTTTTGTCGCAGACTGTTTTCAGTAACTGTGATTCGCCAACCTCCCGCATTGCGTATCAGTTGGAACAGCGTTTGACTATTCCCTGATGCAGTTGCTGCTTCCACTTCACTAGCTATCGTTGCCCACCGGTTCTCACGATATTTTTTGAGGCTCTTCAGGAATTGTCGTTGCAAACGCCACCCACCCATACCTTAATCCCGGGCGGTGGGGATTTGCTGCATTTTCTCCATCAGTACTACTGAATGATCAGATATCCAATGCCTCGGGCGGGCTGCCGCCTCAGACCCACATGCAACTCTCGCAGTGGAGCGCACTGCTTGGTTAATATGATCCCATTGTTCATCTAGACTACCACTCCGCCGTGTTTAGCTCTTTCCCTAGTTCTGATTCAAAACGGGCACGGACGGATTGGTCAGATAAACGATGATCTGCCAACAGTGTTTAGTGGGTTTGTTTGTGACCATTGAGTTGGAGAGTGAACTGTATCAACATTAATGCGTGATCAGATTTAACGCCGGTGGTCCAATAGAACCTGCAGTTTTGCACGGAGCCACGCCTACGGTAGTTTACTGCTGTGGTCGATCTGAGTTGGCGTGCCAGTTGAATTTGAGCGCCACGTTGCTGTCCGTTGAGAGCCGTGTCGGAAGTTGGTGCTTGATAGGAGCAGATGATGATTTACGCAGAACTGAAGAAGTCGATCGCCATTATCTGTTCGCTGGCAGGGCAGTGCACAATGACCGTTTAGGCAAGCTTCCAATGCGCTGTTTTCCAAATTGAGCGTTGAAATCACCTGAGAGAACAATTGTATCGCAGCTTCGGCTCAACCGAATGAGTTCAGTGAGTTTGTCATAAAACTCGTCCTTTTGTGCGTCAGAACTGCAGTTGGTCGGAGCATACGCTGAAATGATGAATAAACACCTTTTGGTGGTGCTTCCCTTCCGGACGCTGATAGACCCTTGGAGTCGCATCGCACATAAGCGGCTGTTGACGGGGATCCAATCGAGTAGTACGGCTTTGGCTGTATTATTCAGTACAATGCCCACACCAAGCTGGCCTACTGAACGGGCTTCGTCATCACCTGACGTGTGGAGGAAGAACCTCGAAGACAACCCCGGCGCTTTTAAGTGGTATATCCTAGATTCGAGTCTCCGACACACAACAGACATTATTCCCCAAAGAGTTCATTGTACGCGCCAGACACGCTTGTTGACCTACCTGGCTGATGAGGCTTCACAATCTGCAATCTATTTTGAAGTAAACTACTTACCGGGATACTTGGCAACGAACTTCGGCGAGTGACGAGCAAGTTGTCTGAGAGAATGTTATGGGTGGAAAAAGGGGTGAAGAGAGAGGGTTGGGTACGGAAGATAAAGGTTGGGATATCTGAGCAGTGGCCCAATTATCACTACTCACCCCGCTCGATGCAATGGGCAGCGCGGTCTTGATTATCCTGCGCGACGATGGATGCAGTATGGAATTCTTTTTCGGTTGTGTATGCATTTGAGTTTGATGGACGGGTACTGCTAGGGTGTCCACCAACATACGGAAGCAAATGGCCATCGAAAATCAACGAGCAGGTGCCCGGTATCAACTTCACACGAGGGGAAGTAAAAGACGGACAACTCTCTTTCCTCGACATCCTTTTCATGAAGCAACCCGACGGAAGAATCCAAACCACGGTCTACCGAAAACCGACCACGACGGACCGCATTCTCAACTACAACAGCAATCACCCTTTGTGCCACCTAAAAGGTTGTGTGCGAACTTTACTCCGCCGAGCAAACATACACTGTAGCACACCGGAGTTAATGACAAGAGAAGTCGACTATTTCAACTGTTCCTATCAAAAGCATATCCCAGGAGATTTATCAAAGCGTGCCTCAGAGGTAAGAAGCAAACAACACAAAAGAAGGAACTTGGATAACGATACCTTACATATGCGGCACGTCAGAAGCCACTGAACGAATACTCCGACCGTTGGGAATCAAGATCGCCCATAAANCCATAAACCGGCAGAAACCGTGAGATCGTCTCTTTTCAACGGCAAGGATCGAGTAGAACAGCACGAACGATAAGGAGTAATCTACGCAATCCCGTGCCTGGGCTGCAACCAACTCTACATAGACAGGCAAATAACTACACACTCGCCTACACGAACACAAGCTTGCCCTCCGACGCGCTAACTCGAGGTCACAAATCTGGAACCACTGCGCAGGGACAGGTCAAGAGATCGTAGTCGATAACGCAAAGGTTGTGACGCGAGCTGAGAAGGGGAAACGATTAATCCTCGAAGCTCTGCACTCGGTTAATTCGTTCAACCGACACGTCGAGATAGACAAACATTAGGGCACACTCGCAAAACCCAAACAGCACACAAGCACACGGAAAGACGGTAATCCGATTATCTCATTCATTTTCATCTGATGAGTCCCAGTTTGAATGGAAACGTTACAATAAACATTTTACAGCTCGGTGTACGCCTCCATTCTCTCTTGAAATATATATAGAGAGAGAGTGCAGGATATGACTATCGCAAAAAGTGGCGCTCGTGCATCATCTCAAATCCTTCGCAGCCTTCGTCTAACCCTCTTTATCACACATCTAGGTGTGATGAACGGTAGACGAGACGGACCCCATGATCAGGAACACCTGCTGATCAGTGACGGTAGCGGACAACTGAAATCCCTGGACTTGGAATGGTGAATCACGTAAGGTCCCGCTAGGTTAGGCTTAGTATTGAACCGGACGACAGCAAAGATGCCTACTACTGAAGTTGGGTGGCGGTGGCGGGGCTTGAGGCTCGGACCACAGGGTCCAGAGTAAGCTGGTGACCTACCTTCTACTTGACTCAGCTCTCAACACCCTGTTCTTCGTTCTACTTTTTATACCGGCAGCCAAAAGACAGTAAACAAAACTGGCACATGAAAGTGTATGGTTAATGGTTGTAAAAACTGAAACTGAAACTATTCCCACCGTACACATGGCACGTAGAATAACCCGGTTTCGATTATCTTAGAGTTTTCTCAGGGCAACTGATTAGCTTAAAGTTTGCTAGCTGCATAGCATGTTTGAAAACGAATCTCGAGGACCATTTGCTCACTTCACTTTACTCCTCTTCGGTTAAAACTTGAGCTACGTGGTGAACAACAAAGTGCGCTTCTCCGTATTTTGCTCGTCTATTAAACCGAGAGAACCATATATAACGGTGCGCCGGGTTGTAATGAGTGCAGTAAAAAAAAGCCGTCTGTTCCAGGAAGACATTTGAAAATAGTATTTGTAACAATTACCTGAACGAATGAAAAACGGCTACCATTCATATCCAATATCTGTTCTGTCTCAACGGTGTTAGATGCGTTCCCCATTTGGTCCACGCCGCGAGAGTTGAATCGAGTGCCAACTCTGTTTACACTACGACGAGATATCAATGCATATATTGTGGGATGTTTGTCAGTCGATGGTCCACCTTGGGGATTGTCAATTATGCCCACAAATCCCTGAATGACCGGTATGCAGTAATCAAATTTATTCCATGAAGAGAGCTTGGTCGAATCCTCTTTACTGGAGCGGGAAGCTGCTTCAGCCAGCTGATCAGCCCAGCTTGAAAGGAGAAAGTGATTCCATGTGAAACGCGGATCGCACTAAAACAAACGAGAACACAATAAATTACTTCAAGTTGTGAAATTAAAGTTTGAGGATGAGTCTAAAATCATTTGATTAGGTAATAAGAGTGAAATAATACAGCTCAGTAGCGCAAATGGGAGTGGACAAAATAGATGCAATCGTTGCAGCCTCATGACCATGCCTGCGCTTAATTTACAAACTACTCACGCGTTCAAAGGGCGACTTCGTTTTGAATTCCGGACTGGTATCTGCCAAGCGCTGCTGAGTGTGCGTCAGGTCAAAAGAAGTAGAGTAATAGAATCCTTCTATATTTAAAACAGTTTCCAACATCTGACAGTAAACCTTCTCATCTTGGATCTTAACGGGAACAATAAGTGTAAACAACAAATACCTGAACTTCCGAAAGTGTGATGTTAGACTTTCCAAAGGGATAAAGTGTACTGTGAACTACCTTCCATATGACGTGACCTGATATTTCTCCCACTCTTTCACGGCCAGTTATGACAAGCAAATAAAAACCTTCAAAACGACAAAAAATGAAAAGTGATTAAACTCACCAGAAATGAGTCTTATTGTACCCCATATGCCATAAATAGGAATCGGCTGCAGTGAAGGAGGAATCACACTTGCATTATCTGGAATATAAGCATGGCAAAAGGTTTCAACTTCAACTCACGATCAATTTTGAGCTCCTGAGAAATCCTATCAATAAGGACAACTTCCTTCCCACCGAGAGGAACTATATAATACACTTCCGGTGATATGTACCTGAAAAGTCGTACTAAAAACCACGTAAGCTTACAGCCTATATTCATCATGAGGCATCGCTGATAGGCAAGACGTATCCGCACACCACTTCAGTCAGGTCAGGTCAGGTCAGGTTGCACAGGACTGAATATGGCCACGGCCAATCGAGCGTCCAGAATTCCTTTGATGGTATACTCACTGAGTGGGCACCCAGCACTGCTGAAATGAAAATGAGAAATAGGATCT